CTTCGCCCGGGAGGGAGATTTCGAGCCGCGGAACAGCTGGTGATTGCTGTATTCCGCGGTTCTCACGCTGTCCCAGGAGGACGGCTACAATGTAGCCGCCATCATCGACGCTAACCACCGGAAGTCCTCTCATGCTTATTGCAATAATTGTTATCCATTGTATTTTGACCTCACATAACTTCACTGAAGGACAAATCGTTTTATTATAATACAGAAGGTGGCCTAAACAAAAGTCTGAAAGAGGTGGGAATGAAATCCCTCTATAAGCAAATTAGAATATACTGTACATAGAATTCTATATAGCAGCATAAGTGATTGTTTATATTGTTAATGCAGTGATAAGATAATGGGGTTGTACTACAAACATCCTTTGAGTTAGACAAAGGCTGTGTTCTTTGAAGAAAATCGCTACTGATGTAATATTTCCTCTAGGTATTACCTTTCCAACTTGGTCTTTCAATTCAGACAGTCTTTGACCTACAACCATAGTGAGGTCTGCCCATTACAGTCAGAAGTCATGACAATCATTAAGACTCCCTTGCTTAACGATCCCACCCTTGCTCTTTCTGATGCCACTGTTAAATGAGCATGTGGGACATTAAGCAAGCATGGGATACCTGAAGGGTGGAGGAGGCCATGGAAGGCCCACCATCAGCTGGGTCCATAAAGAAAGCAGACCAGCAACAAAGGGCTTTGCAAAGCCAATAACAGACCAGCAGGGGAGAAGAGCCCAGCTGGATTAGGCCCAATGTCACATTCCAAGGCCAAAGAGGCTTCCAAAAAAGCTCCCATGCTTGACCAATGAAGCTGAGCTTGTGGGTTGGGTCTCTGCCCCAATCAGCTGGCTGTCAAGAACCTGCAAACTTCTCCTGGCTCTTGCTAGCCTTTGGCAAAGCCAAAGGTAGCAACTTCAGGACCAGCTTCTCAAAACCTTTTCCTTGCTTAACCCTCTCCTGCTGCCAGAAATCCCTGGAAGGATGGTGGTAAAATCTGTAAGTTATTTACTTCAATGAGTGATTCCAGGCTGAAGAGTACAGCAGAGGAAAGGAAGCAAGCAAGCAGAAACAATTTTTCTGCAGTTTGTTTGCCTTGAGGAGATGAAGAAAATATTCAGCCCAAAAGAAAAAGTTGGCATACAGCACAAATATGCACCAAACAACCATGGCAGACAGGCACGCAGTCTAGAGGAACTTAGCCAGGCAGCAAAACACTTTCCAAAGGTTTCCATTTTTTTGCTGCCAGAGAGATTCCTTTTATGACCAGATAGTTGCTTTTTCTTCAGAGCTGAACTTTTTCCAAGTGTTTTGGGGTCCTGTCACAGCAGGATGGATGGGAGATGTGGGGAGGGGAGCACTGCAACGTTCCTGTGGTCATTCATAAAGACAAATGATTGCTGAGAAGCTACAGGGTCGTATATGGCTTTTAGAGGACCTGTTGTAATTTCAAACAACCATTAAGTGACCTGTCATATCTCAAGGATTACTTGTACTATTCTTATCTCCTAGTAATAATAATAAAGTTGGAAGGGACCTTGGAGGTCATGGAGTCCAACCCCCTGCTCAGGCAGGAAACCCTACACCAGTGGTGGTGAACCTATGGCACGCGTGCCAGAGACAGCACTCAGAGCCCTCTCTGTGGGCACACACACCATGCCCTGGAGATGGCAACTGTCCCTCTTCAACCAGCCACCTGCTAACTCGCCGAGGTCCCACATAACCGGATGCATCCCAGCATGGCTGGTTTCCCTCCCCCTCATCCCATCCCTCCTGGCCTCACATGCTCTCTTTTTCCCAGGCACAACCCACTGCATCGCCTCCTCAGCTGTCAGCCAGCCATCCAGCTCAGAGGCGGCTTCTCTGAATTGCTGGGGGTGGGCTGCGGAGCCCCAGAGTGCACCAGTCGACAGGCAGGCAGGCTGTGGTTGCTGACAGACACTGTCGGCCCCCGTGAGCTTGCTGGTCTCTGTGTGCAGGGGCCAATGGTGTCAGGCAGCAGCCGCCCTGGCCCCTGCCTTGCCTTGCCTTGCCCTGCAACAATGGCACCCCCGCCCTGCCCTGCCTTGCCTTGCCTCACCTCACCCTTCAGGATGAGCCTCCTGCCACTGCCCACCTGCCAGAAACCCCCACAGGCATCCCTCCCCACAAGCAACATCGAGGTTACCACACCCACCTTGGCCACACCCATCCAGTCTGCCATGACCACAGCTGTGCCCATCCAATGGGCCATGCCCACCTGGCACCCGGTGATAAATAAGTGGTTTTTGGGTTGCAGTTTGGGCGCTCGGTCTCTAAAAGGTTTGCCATCACTGCCCTACACCATTTTGGACAAATGGCTGTCCAGTCTCTTCTTAAAAACTTCCAGTGTTGGAGCATTCCCCACTTCTGGAGGCAGGTTGTTCCATTGGTTAATTGTTCTAACTGTCAGGAAGTTTCTCCTTAGTTCTAGGTTGCTTCTCTCCTTGATTACTTTCCATCCATTGCTTCTTGTTCTGCTCTCAGGCGCTTTGGAGAATAGCTTGACTCTCTCTTCTTTGTGGAAGCCCCTGAGATATTGGAACACTGCTATGATTTTCCCCATCGTTCTTCTCTTCATTAAACTGGACATACCCAATTCCAGCAGCCTTTCCTTATATTTTAGCCTCCAGTCCCCTAATCATCTTTGTTGCTCTTCTCTGTACTCTTTCTAGAGTCTCAGCATCTTTTTTACATCGTGGTGACCAGAACTGGACACAGTATTCCAAGTATGGCCTTACCAAGGCATTGTAAAGTGGTATTAATACTTCACGTGATCTTGATTCTATCCCTCTGTTAATGCAGCCCAATACTGTGTTGGCTTTTTTGGCAGCTGCAGCACAATGCTGGCTCATATTTAAATGATTGTCCACTAGGACTCTGAGATCCCTTTCACAGTTACTACTATTGAGCAAGATACCCCCTATACTATACCTGTAATTTGGTTTTTCTTGCCTAAATGTAGAACCTTACTTTTTTCACCATTGAATTTTATTTTGTTAGATTTTTTTGGGCTGTGCATTCATTTATGTCTCTAGGAAAGTGGATTATGGGAAGGGGGCAACTTACTTGTTTTAACTTTTTTAAACTAATGTCACTTTACCAGTTTGTTTTAAAAGCTAATAGGACCAATTATTTAACTTATTCAATGTACAGATACCCTATTTCCATCAGAAATTTTCCTTAGTTGCTTATGTTTGTTAGAATAAGAGTAAATAAACAACTGTAAAAATAAAAATCAAATTGCATTTTTGTTATCAGTGGCTGAAGAGAAGAGGATATTATTCTGGCACTTAATATTTGAAAACACTTTAAATGCAATTCCACATTGTCCTGTTCCAATAGTTAATCTGATGCTCTCTATTATAGAAGCTCAGTTTGCAGGCAGAATAACGAGGTGCATTCCTAAACAGAATAGGAAGCCAGGATGGCTTTAATTGGAAATATATTAAGTACTGATTTGGGATGTTTACATTTTTGAATACATTTTATTACTATTTGTGAATCTATAATTTTTTTCTTTAAATTAAAGGTGTATTATTTTGAAAGTTCTTAATACTGTATAAGCGTTGTAAAAATTAGATACCTATTGATTTCACAATCATTATTTTAATTCAAAATAAAAAGCAATTTTCGTTAGCAAATTTCAATAGCTAAGAAACCTGAGGATGATTTGTAAAACTTTCTTTTTTAAAATGCTTGTTTAACTGCTAACAATATCCTCTTAATTTTTTACTTGAAGAAAATAAATTGCCAAAGAAATATACAGTTCTTCATGAATATTAAATTTTATTATTTCTTTTCGCCTAAAATTAACAATAACAAAAGCAACATAGCATATAACATGAAAACAGAAGGTCTGAATTTTGTAAAATTTGAGAAAAAATAAGCATGTTAACAGGGATTTCTCTTTTTCTTTTTTCCTTCTCTCTTGCTGTCCCCAGTGATGTCATCACCTCACCATTATGCTTTGTATGGTCCTTGACATCTGAAAAAATATATAAAATAGTGTTGTTCAAGTCTCAAAACAGATTCTCTGCACTTTAAATATTCTAGATCCTAGTGATTTAAGTACAGAAAATTGCACAGAATCATTATATTCTCTGTGATTTTAGATACTTTTTTTACATAAATGTCTTCAAATACTGCAGAGATGGTCCCATTTCTCTTAACAAGCAGTTAAAATATAATATATGACATTGTGGATGAAGGAAGTTGTGGATAATTAATCCCCTCAGCATATAAACGGATTATGTTACTTTATATTAGCTTGTTAGATCATTTAATAAAACCAGCCCTTAGTTATTCAGGGTAATCTACCATTTTAATCAGAAAGGTACATCTTTTAAATGTAGTAAATTCAGAGATTTTAAATATATGATTATTACTGGCACAAATTGGTAATAATTGGATCAAAGGCATTTAAATTCAACTCCTTTACAATCAATAAAATCTAGAAGATCTTGTCATGCTTGCTGTCTCACAGTTGATGTCATAAGAAGAAATGTGATGGTTGAGGAAAAAAAACTAAGCTGAATCCAGAATTCTATTTTCATTGTGATGAAACAGGTGTCTGTGGGAAATTCTACAAGATATCTTGGTTGTTGCCTCAGCCTAGCTATTTAAAAAGCTGTAGAGATGTAATACTACAATTCTCACGTACACTGCCCTGAGTTTCTGGAGGTAGGCCAAAATCCATTTGAAAGTAAATAAAAAATAAATATTATAGGTATCTTGATCTGGTGTATGGTCATACACAAGTTGGGCACAACTAATTTTTTTAAGTCCCATTTGGTGAGACCACTGATTGATACTTAAGACATTTGAGGAGAAATTTGTAGCGGATTGTGTCTCCTCATAATACTTCATTGCAGAAATGAAAATGGAGACTTCTTAGTAAATATTTTCTAGCCACCATAGAAAAGAAAAACATATTTTGAATTCCTGATAAAAACACTGTATGTAATTATCTGTTGTTCTTTATTGTAGGAGCTATGCCTGTTCCAGATCAGCCATCGTCATCTGACAAGACAAGTTCCCTTAGCCCCGTGTTGAATACATCCAATGGAGATGGATCTGAAACAGAAACCACGTCTGCCATTCTGGCATCAGTCAAAGAACAAGTAAGCAACTGCAAGAAATTGCAAATTCCAAATCCTAAAGTGTGAGTCAAGTACCTTTTATGTTGTGCACATGAGCTCCCTCTGTTAACATCCTTGAGGGTATAAATATATATAGCAAACGTATTAACTTTCTTAGTGTGCTATATTTGATTTGTGATAAGGTACTTGTTTTTATTTTTTCAGAGAAATTTAAAACTACTACTAATCTAACTAAAATTGCTGCTGTTGTCTTTCTTTCACAGTATTAAGAACTGGAATGCATGTGTCAGATCTCTCCTATGTGACAAATAGGAGAGTATTTTTGTTTTTTGATAGATCTGTTCTGAGAATTAAAAAAATTCAATTTGTTTTTCTTTGGAATCACAGTATCTGAATTTTGGTTTTCTATTATCTTCGACATGTTTAGAATATATTAAAAGAATATATTATGGTTCGCATAAATAGAACATGGCGTTTTAATAGACAAGTTAGATATCAATGGTAAAACCAAACTAAAAACCTTAAAAATGAAAAAAAAAAATAGAAAAAGTAGAAATAATGTTCAACAGCACCAGAACAATTACAAATAAACTCAATGGCTCTGCAGCTGTTTCTGCTTTCTTCCCGCATTGTTATATTTCCATATTTTATTTCTACGCCCGAATATTGGATTGGGAGTGCAGGGGAAAAAAAAGTCTTCTACTTAAAGTGATTAAAAAAGTTTACTTGTTCCCATATGGAGAAAAATTTTGTATAGATACAGATGATACATGCACATGCTTTTTAGTCAATAATAAAATTCTTCAACATATAGCATTTTATAAAAATGCAGGTTTCTGTTTCTCAGTGATTAATGTCTCAATCCAGATAAAGATGGCAAAAACAAGGCAAGAGCAAAAGCAAACATACATTGCCCAGAAGGAATTTAAATACATATTAAATATAATTTCATGTCTGTGTATAAATAAATTGATTAAATTTGATATTACACATAATTATATGTATTAATTATATATTCTATATTATAATATTGATATTATAATATTATAATTAATTAATTTTGAATTGTAATGTATTAATATTAAACATCATTTGTTTAATTAGTTGAATTAACCAAACATGTTAATGTTTTTTTAATTTATCTTCACTGAGGAACATTTTTAGAATTAAAACAATACAAATTTAAAGAAGATAAGAAATGTTGTAAGTAAGTAAGAAATAAAACAAAGATATAGAAAAATAACTTCCAATCTTCTTATAAGTTGTAATGTATTGAGTAAAGTCTGAGAATTAACATGCTGAGAACTGTGAAGAAACGGTTAGCTGGCCACATGGCCAGCAGGCCAGACTTTCTGTCTGCAGACTACTTGTTATGCATTTAAGTGGGAGAATACTGTGCTCCTATTGGCTGCCGCTTTTAGGATGAGTGTATAAGTATGGGTGGTGTCACGCCGTCCATCGTCGTCCAGATGAAAAAAATGCAGGAACGCAGGTACAAGATGCAAGTCAGGTCTTTAATCCCTAACAAACAAAGTCAGCACTGGGAGTGGTTTGCTCCCAGTGCTTCATATAACAGTGCCACGCCCAAAACCCCACCCTCCAACCACTAACCACCATCCGCCCAGCTGTCTTCAAAAGTCCATTTGTCCGGCCCTGCCCCTCCTCCAGCTGAACCCCACCCCACTGCCCTGCTTCCTGTTTGTTCAAGACGGAGCTTTCTGCCGACGCGCCGCTTCCAGGCCCTTCTGGTCTATTGCTGGCATTCCCCCTGGTAGCAGTGAGTTCGTTTGTGCCTCGGAGTGTTCTGTGCTGTCCAGCCCCTGGTCCCACTTCCCAGCTGGTGCATTCCCCCCCTTCATTCAGCTATTGCTCAGGGCATCTGCGGCAGTGGAAGGACCCCCTTGTTGCCCAGTTCGGCCTTTCACTGGCCTCCGCATGTTGGCCAGGCTTCACAACGCCCCGCCATCGTCTGATGGTCAGCCAGGCGGCGAGGCTTGGGGTTTTCAGGTGCTGACTGGCCGGGTTCAGCGATGCCTTGCCGGTTTCCGACACCAGCTGGTTGGCGGGGCGGCGAGGCTTGGTTTTCTCCGGTGCTGGCCAAAGCGAGGGGCCGTACAGCGTCACAGCTGTGTATGGTGGTGGTGGGCTGTTCTTGGGATTCCCCCCACCAGTGATTGGCAAGCCCTGTAGGGCTTGACAGGTGGAGCATGTGCTTGTTAGTTTTGGTTTTGACTTGCAATAAAGAGAGTTGTGTATCACCTACTGTCTCTTCAATGTCGCATCGAACAAAATACTTAACACTGGCAACAAAGGTGGGATCGTGCTGCCTCACCACGAAGAGCTAAGTCACTATTGAGGTTAGGTCTAGCAAACGCTTGGTCGGAACGGCGTTTCCCCCCCCCCCTCACTCTATCCTACCAGTATGGAAACGCTGGAGGAGAGTGCTTCCAAGAATCCACCCTGGAAGTCCCATGGAAGTCTGCGCAGCACGAGGCACTGAGAGGCCGCAAAAAAACTCACCATAGCTAAGATCGGAAAACTCTCCAAATTTGATGTTGCTCATCCAGAGAGGTGGAGCTCCTACGTCGCAAGAGTTGAAAACTACCTGCGAGTTAACCAAGTTCGAGACAATGGTTTGAAGGCCATGATGCTGTTGTGTGTGTGTGATCAGGTGACTTTTGATATTGCCGAGAACTTGGTTGCACCAGCCCCGCTCGAGTCCATCGCATATTCAGAACTTAAGAAGATGCTCAAAGAACACTTTGAGCCCAAGCTATCGGTCATTGCCTGGTGGCATGCCTTCGAACAGTGAGACCAGCGTCCCAGCAAGTCCACCACCAACTTCACAGCTACTTTCGTCAAGCGGCCCGACTTTGCGAATTCAAAGACCTCGAAGAAAGATTGAGGGATGATTTAGTTTGTGGTTTAAGGAGTCAGGAGTTTCAACAAAAGATATCCGCAAAAGAGACTATCTCATTCCAAGATGCATTGCAGGAGATCACGGCCAAAGAAGCATCTGGCGGAGCCATCAAGGGCCTATGGCTGTCCAAGAGCCCTTCTTGCTTGGAGGCCATCCACCAAGAGGACGCCGAGAGAGGCGAAGACTCTGAATCGAACCACGAAGTCGATCGGTTACAGCAACCACCTGAAAGAAGGCCCCAATGACCAATTGACAAGACAGTTCCCTTTTCTCGATGTGTTGGGTGTGGAGGCTGACACAAATGGGTGGAATGCTGGTTTCGCACAGCAACATGCAGGGCGTGTGGCAAGCAAGGCCACATCACTGCTGTTTGTAGGGGTCGCAGGAGAGAACACTCATCAGAAGAGTTGCCTCGGAAAGGTACCAGGGTTCCCGGACAAAACAGGGTGGGTTTTTGCGCTAGTCAAAGGAGCGTGTTTAGGAAGGTGTCCATCGCCCACTCAAGGAGAAATTGCATCTCAAAGTCAAGTTTCAAGGGGTTCCTTGTGACATGGAATTGGACACGGAGTCAGCTTTATCAATAATTTCCCAAAGGACCCTCCAACAACTTTATAGTCGTAGCAGCAAGTGAGTTAAGCTCAAGCCTCATTCTAACTGATTTCCAAAATTCCTGGGTAACAGTAAAGAGAGAGGCCGCACTCAGGGTGCAGTTCAGGAATTTTGAGGGTCCCCCTGGAAGTCGTAGTAATTGAGGGCAACTGCACTAGCCTTATCGGGCTTGGTTGGTTTGATGCATTGGGAATTCAAGTGACTGGGTTAAATAGCTTGCACGTCGAGCCTCTTGGCAGTTTGTAAAGAATTTGCTGATGTTTTCAGTCCAGAGTTGGGGGAATACAAAGGGCTCCCAATTGCCCTCTGGCTCGACTCTACAATAGCACCAATAAGGATAAAGCCTCGTTGGGTGCCTTTCACCCTTAAGCAAAGAATCAATGCAGAGTTGGACAAGCTGTTGCTACAAGGCATTTTAGAGCCAGTGGATAGCAGTCCATGGGAAACTCCCATAGTTACGCCACTTAAGGCCAATGGTGAGGTCCACATTTGTGCCGACTATAAATGCACGCTAATTAAAGCCCTTCAACAGCACTCATACCCGGTGCTTGTAGTCAGCCATATTTTGGCATCTCTACAGGGAGGTCGCATTTTCGCCAAATTAGATTTGGCCCAGGCCTATAAGCAGCTGCCGGTGGATGATACCACAGCTGAGGCCCAGACCATAGTAACCCACAGGGAAGCTTTCAAGATGTGGCGGTTACAGTTCGGGGTTAGTGTAGCTCCGGGAATTTTTCACAGCGTAATGGAGCGCACGCTCCAAAATATTCCAGGTGTGTGCTTGTATTTTGACAATGTCCTCATAGCTGGAGAATCAGTCAAAATCCTAATCGACAGGCTTAGGGCTGTCTTGCAGCGTTTCCGCAAAGCGGGGCTGAAGCTAAAGCAGGCAAAATGTAAAATTGGGGTTACTTCCACAGAGTTCCTTGGGTTTCGTATTGATGCCAAAGGCATTCATCCTGCTGAATCCAAGCTTAAAGCAATTCAGCAAGTACCCAGTCCCAAGACAAAAGGAGAACTTCAGGGGACTCCTTAATTTTTATCACCCTTCCTTCCCCACAAGGCCGCAGTGGCAGAGCTGTTACACCAGCTCTTGGACAAGAAGGGTCAGTGGAAGTGGATGAGTGTCCATGAGCAAAGTTTTGCAGCAGTTAAATCACTGCTGTCATCAAATGCGGTGTTGACCCATTTTAATGAGCAGCTGCCAATCAGCATTGACTGTGATGCATCCCCGTAAGGGATTGGAGCTGTGTTAAGCCATCTTCAGGCTGACATGACACAAGTTCCCATAGCCTATTATTTTAGAACCCTCTATTCAGCGGAAGGCAATTATGCACAGATTGATAGGGAGGCATTGGCCATTGTGGCGGGTATAAGAAAGTTCCATGACTATTTGTATGGCCGCCATTTCACGGTCTTCACAGACCACAAGCCACTTCTGGGGTTGTTCACTATGAACAAGCAAACACCCCGGATTATTTCTCCTAGGATG